ATATATATATATATATATATATATATATATATATATATATATATATATATAGATAGATAGATAGATAGATAGATAGATAGATATGTACAATAATATATATGCATATATATATATATATATATATATATATATATATATATATATATATATATATATATAATTGTTGTCTTTTTTACTTAAAATTAATTAAGTCGCAACTCCGAGTTTCACGTTTTCACGATCTTCAGGCGACGATGTATGTTCAACTAACTTTTCCTGCTTGGTGACGTTGATATCCGTTGTGCTGCTTGCGTGACTGAGTTTGCGTGCGTGATTGAGCTTGCGCACGTTCAAACTTTTCGGCCAAGAATCGTTTTTGGTGAACGCACTTCGAGAACAACTCGCGTCTTCTATTTAGCAAGTTTGACTTATCCGCTTTTAGAATGCAAAGTTTCTCTTGGAGGCAAAGGTTACATCTCTTTCCACCGCTGGAATACGAGCTCGAGGCTGCTCGTTTTAGGATAGACCAATTAATCGTAAAGTCCTGCTGCTTTTCCTTTAAGTTCCACACGTATTTTGAGAGCTCCGTATTGTTCCTGTATATAACATTATTGAAAGATTTATTGTGGTTATATAACCGTGTCTTAAAGGTGTTTCCCGTCATGCCAATGTATTCTTTAGGTTCCGAATTGTTGGTTACCACCTCTGCTTTATAAACTATATGCAGTCTAATAGGCATTTCTTTTGAAGAGGACATTCGTTGCTATTATTACAATTGCATGTGGCCATGGCGCTGTATGTTGATGATGATGTTTGGGTTGTCGATTTCGGTCTTGATAGTATTCTGGTGTTATGCTTAGAAATTATACTCTTGCAATTATCCATGCAGCTGTAACTGACTTTCACCGAGTTACGATTAAATATCTTATGAAGGCAATTGGAGGGTGGGAAATGTTTGTCAATTAGATTGAGGAAGATCTTGCCCACGTTTGTTCTTACGTTCTTGCTGAACGGTGGATTGAACCAAATTATGTTTCGTTGTCTTCGTTTATTACCACTACCGTTGTTGCTTGGGGTATAATGCAAGTTCGCATGATAGTTGCTGTGGTTCAATGCGCTTTCATACATGGGTGCAGCGGCTGAAAAGGCATTTTGGTCGGATGATAATTGCGAAATACGTTTGTTCACTGATAGCGAGATTTGTTTTATGATTGATGGTGGATGATTCGAATGACTGTTGATGAAAAGGGGGTCATTATTAGGTTTCCGGTAAGGCTTGTAACTCTGCTCGTGTAAATTGAAAGTTAAGTCGAGGAAGTTGACGGTTTGGTGGCAAATTTCGGCTGTTATCTTTAACTGGAAGTTCTCTGCAAACAACTTGTGCAGGTTTTTTCTTGCCTTATCGGCTAGACGTTTGGAAGTTCCCTTCAGTAAAATAAGTCCATCATCACGATAAAGACCAACGTAATCTTTCCCGTATTTCTCAGCTAAGGAGTTTAGAATAAATAAGCCGACTAGCTCACATACCTCTGCGCCGTCGTAACTTCCCATTGTAACGTCAAATGTGGTGTTGCTTTGCCGTTTTTTCCAGATGTTACCACCATTGAAAAGGAGGGAGTTTCTTGCGTGTTTAATGATTGACACATGTTGTTCAGGGATGGTAACATAATTTCGAGAATAGTTTTACTAATCTTTCCGAGATCACTTTTCGCTGGGTTTATCAGGCGATAGGTTGGGTTGGCTTCAAAATTATCTTTGTGGTCTTTAATTGTCACAAACGCTTCTTTAGTTGCCATGGTTTCAATGCGGTTACCGATGGAGAGATCATTTGCAAGGTCCCTAAGATCACATACATCGTAGATCATCATACATCATACATACATCATACATCGTCATGTATGATGTATGATGTATGTATCATGTACATACATCATACATCGTCGCCTGAAGATCGTGAAAACGTGAAACTCAGAGTTGCGACTTAATTAATTTTAAGTAAAAAAGACAACAATTATAAAGCTCTACTAATATTGGTGTTGAGCACTCTTCAAACTACTCAGTGCGTTCAT